GCATCTCTTAGAATGCTTCCATCAGTGCTGCCTCTGCACAATCCTAAACATCCACTGGAGGGATTATGTGACCAACATGTCTGTCTTTGAACAGGCAGCAGTCACAAGCATTGAGGTCATGCTGCTGAGAACACAGCTGCGCTGGGCGGGGCACGTCTCCAGGATGCAGGACTACTGCTTCCCTAAGACTGTGCTCTATGGGGAACTTGCCACTGGCTACCGCAAGAGAGGAGCCCCGAAGAGGAGATACAAGGACTGCCTGAAACAATCCTTCAGCCTTGGCCATATTGATCATCACCATTGGCCTACCCTGGCAACCGATCGGGAGGCCTGGAGACACACTATCTATAACACTGCTGTTTCCTTTGAGAACGTACGCAGGATCACTCTCAAGGAGAAAAGACAACACAGAAAGAATCGCATATTGTCGATATCACCTGGGGGGTCTTTCCGCTGTGCCTTTGCAACCGGCCTTGTCTATCTTGCATTGGTCTTTTTAGCCATCAGTGCTCTTGTAGCAAGCATGGGTAGAGCCCTTCTCAAATCTTTGTTCTCAAAGCCTTGCCGTGATGATGATAAAACTAATATAAACAGTTGTTTGATTCAGGTCCAGAATGGTAACTATGAAGTAAGTTTATAGAAGATATCTCCATAAACCTAATGTGACAACTTCAGGAGTTGCCCGATGTAGAATTGAAACTTGTTGCTAAATTTCAGCCAAATCCATTGTGCAAGTCCAGCAATTACATTTTATAAATAATATTGGATACATTTTTACTAAAACCAAATGCAAATTTTGGTTCTAAACCGGATTCATAGTTACTGGTAGGATTAGTCAATGCACACAGAAAAACCGTTTAAACTTCATTTTTTTCATCTGTAACAGTCTCTGTTTCACTTGCCTTAGGAGCAGAGGCCTTCTTCCCTATGGAGTAGTGAATCCAGGGTCCTTTGCCAGCAACTTTGACCACGATGGGGGTGGTCAGCAGAACTTGAAATAGTTCTTTGCACTTGGCTTGCAGAGGTTCACAATCCCACCATTTAACATAGTCTCAAAGCTGGAACAGATGAACAGGAGTGCCCAGTCCCATGGGTCTACATGACACTATGAATCTGCAGTTCCTGCAAAGCAGAGCCTAAATCATTAAACAATTTTGCAAATTACCCTTCTCTTATGTGAATATAGGGACTTACACTGTTTCCCTGCCTTGGTCGTATGCAGATCCTCAGTAAGGCCATAGGCAAGACCTGAACACACATTCTAGATGTTTCTTGACAAACCCTGTTTTATTTGTGCTTGACAGTTGATGAAGAGTGACTCTGTCAGATGACAATTTCAAAGGAACCCTAAATCTTGGAATTCCTGCATCATGACTGTGTGAGTGAGACTGAGTTTTTATAGTATAAAGTGACTGACTGCCAGTCACAAATCTATAGACCAGTTAGGAGCTTACAAAAAGCAGGCTGAGTCTGGAGTTTGATACACACCAAACAGCACCCAGTCCCTGCCAGTAGCTCATCACAGAGAGCTTGCATTCTCTGAACAGATTCCAGGCCTTATCAGGGACTGACCATACTGTCATAGTCTGCCCCAGACTGCAATCAATCATGTCCACCTTATGGAGTGGCAGTGCAGGTGCCACTTGCCTCCATGCTATAAAAGCATCCTCATGTATTGGGTTAGGTTCACCATGTGGATACTCATAGCATACTCCTGAAAAAACTGGAAACCCATGGCTTGGATAGGGAAACTCTCTGCTGGGTTAAGAACTGGCTGGAGGGCTGGGCCCAGAGAGCGGTGCTGAAAGGTGCTGAATCCAGTTGGCGACTGGTCACTAGTGGTGTCCCCCAGGGATCAGTGCTTCGCCCAGTTCTATTTCATATTTTCATTGATGATCTGGATGAGGGGATTGAGTGAACCATTAGCAAATTTGCAGACAACACCAAGTTGGGGGGCATGTTGATCTACTGGAAGGCAGGAGGGCTCTTCAGAGGGACCTGGACAAGCTGGAGAGATGGTCTGATTCCAATGGGATGAGGTTCAGCAAGGCTAAGTGTGGGGGTAGGCGGCGGGCCCGCCGTGCCCCTGTTGAAGAATATAGAGGAGGAGGATTTTGATTTAGACACTTTGAGGCTGTTCCCCTGAAGAAAAACAGGGGTCATGGAGGACTTGGGAAGGTGCCAGTACTGATCAGTAAAGAAAGAATTTAAACAAGGAGTGAACAACCAATTGTATGTGAAAGGTAGTAATAAATTATAGATAAGAAGCTAATAATGGAAGGGCATGCAAGGCTCTGTGCTCAGTGTGTGTGAGAGAGAGAACTTTTAAACTGTAAATAAAGCAATAAATGCTGGATTTCAGATCATCATTATAAAGGTGCCTAGTTTTTATTTCTTGACCGTCCTCTACAACAACAGCTGATGACACCTGAGTGTTACGAACCATGAGGGATCACGACACTATCCTGACGACACTCCTAACGTGGAGCCAGATTGGATTTGATCCTCATCAAGGGATAGGAATAATTCCCGGAGAGGAATTAAAACCGCAGGTCAAGGTGCAGTGAGGACAGACGTCGGTGTAGCAGAGAGCAGCGAGGTGCTGCTAAAAAGGCATCCGGACCTGATCTTTCTTGACACCTGAGGCAGATGAACCGTCGAAGACTTTAGAGGTATAATGGGACAAATTATGAGTCCAGACAAAAAGTGCATAGTTAGCACTTGGAATACACTGCTTCAAATGTGTGGAATTAAATATGATGATGACCACTTGCAGCCTTTATTGCAACGGTGCCGAAAGGAGGGGTGTGAAGCTACCCTACATTTGGCTTTTAGCATATCTCCTTGGGAGGACATAGGAAAGAAATTATGGGATGCTATATCGAATGGTACTGAGGGGCTGGAGGGGTTGGCCCCTACGTGGAAGTTTGTACTAATCATCCTGAAGGCCTGGTATGATGAAGTACAAAAGGAACAGGGGGCTGTTGGGGAGGAGGGTCTGGTGCGGTCTATGGCTGAATTAACACTAACAGAATCAGCTCCTAGTACCTCCCCCTCTTCTTCTTCTGCGAAAAATATCTCTCCTGTTGATCCTTCCCCTGCTCACACATACACTTCTACTGCCGTCCCCCTGCCACCCCGGGACTATCCATCCCCAACATCACAGCTAATTGTGTGAGTAAAAGAGAAATGGCACAACACCCCCCCTTCCTCTGTTGATTCTGTTGGCTCCTTTCCCACTGCTGCTTTGCCTGCTGCTGCCAAAATACACAATAGTAGTTCCTCCTCTTTAGAGGATTCGGATGATTTTGATGGGGAACAGTCCCTTAAAGAGGTTGAACTGCTTTTCCAAAAAGGCTCCCACTCCAAGAAGCCTTTGCGAACCCCTAAATCCAAACCTATTTGCTTGCTTCCAGCAAAGGTTATCGTACTACCCAGAGATCCTGGTTCATTTTGGGAGGGGTTGCGTAGGGAAGCGGCAAGAATGGGTGATTGGGATCTTTGTAAAAGGATTGGATGTCCCTCTTTTCGAGACAGAGGTGAATGTTCTGCGTTGGCAGAGGGTCCCTAGGCATTTCCAGTTATGAAAATGAGCGGTAGGATCAGGAAAGGCTGATGAACACCATGTTTTTGCCTGGAAGGTTGTGCAGGATTTGCAGTTTAATGTCGGAAAATACGATCTCAACTCCCCTCAAGTGATGAGGCTGATACATGTCATTAATGCTGACTTATTAGCCCCCTATGATATTACACACCTCTTTTAAATATTACTTGAACCTGTGCAAACTGAGTTGTTTGAGTGAAAGTGGGCTCAGATGGCCCCACAGGCAGAGAGAGACAATCTCAATCGAATAGATGGTGACCCTCTAAAAACCATAGGGGCACAAGCCTTGATGGGTCAAGGGCCTTTCAGCAGTCCTGATTTGCAGGTTACCTGGCACCCAACTGCCTTACAAGAAGCCCAAAAGTTGGGAATGGGTGCCCTGTTACAAGTTATGGAAATGCCAGCTCCATGACAGCACTACACAGATATAAGACAAGAACATGGAGAGCCTTTCTTAAAGTTTGTTGAAAGATTAGTGCAGTCACTAGAAAAACAAGTAGAGGACAACACCTTGGGGCAAAAGCTTTGTGTGCAGTTAGCTAGAGATCAAGATAACACTGCTGGAAGGTCATTGATTCCTTGCCTGGTTCACCCAATATAACGGACATAGTAGAAACTTGTTTAAAAATTGGATCTATTGACTATTCCATGTCTGCTTTGGCAGCCATCCTACGTGCCCCACAGACATGCCACCTGTGTCATCAGGAGGGACATGTGAAAACTCACTGCCCTTAACAGAAAGTCAAAAAGGGAGCAGTACCTTCTACGAGTACATGTGCTCGTTGTGGCAAAGAAGGTCATTTTGCAAAACACCGTCACTCTCGGTACCATGCTGCAGGCCACCCCTTGTCAGGAAACGGGAAGCAGAGCGCGATGAGGCACACGGAGATACAAATGCCTCCAGTTCAGTCTCTGCCTCAGGGAACGGCAAGGTTCCCTTGTGTGACCAACTCACAGGCAAAACTTCCAGGTCTGCCAGCATGGATGTTTCCACAGCTGACGCAGTCACAATCATCACTAAATACGTTACTAAGGTCCCCTTAGATGCTTAGGGACCCATAGGAAATGGATTAAGTGCCTTATTAGTGGGACATTCAAGCAGTACTCAAATAGGACTTAGTGTTCACTTGGGAGTGATTGATACTGACTATACAGGACAGATTTCTGCCATGGTTTCTACTATGTATCCTCCAGTCCAAATACCAAAAGGGACTCCAATAGCTCAACTTGTACCTTTTGTGAGTTGTGTTCCGAATACAGAGCTCCGTGAACAACGAGACAGAGGTTTCGGTTCTACTGGTGCACTGCAGGTTTTTTGGTCTCAACCGATCTCCACGCACTGACCACAAATGACCTGCCATCTGCGTTATGCTCAAGGATCACCTCACAGCATTTCCTTGACTGGACTGCTGGACACTGGGGCTGATGTAATCATCATTACACGTGCTGCCTGGTCTGCTTCATGGTCGGTAGCTCCGGTAACCACTGGAGTTGTGGGATTGGGTGGAACTACTCAGAGTTACATTTCAAGTGATCCCATACTTATTGTGAACCCTGAGGGTCAATCAGCCACAGTTAGGCCATATATAACTGTGGCTCCCTTAACACTATAGGGACGGGACTGTCTTTCGCAATGGGGTGTAAAAATTATGACGGATTTTTAACAGGGGTCACTGCATTGCAGGGTGTTACACAACCCACTGTTACTTTATCTTGGCTCACAGACACTCCTGTGTGGGTTGACCAGTGGTCCCTTCCCAAAGAAAAGTTGCTGGCCCTGCAGCACCTTGTAAAAGAACAGCTGGATGCTGGTCACATTGAACCCTCTCTAAGCCTGTGGAATACCCCTGTCTTTGTCATTAAAAAGAAGTCAGGGAAATGGCACCTACTCCATGACCTTAGACAGGTCAATGCGGTTATGGGTCCTATGGGGGCGTTGCAACCAGGTCTTCCATACCCTTCAATGTTGCCTGTTGGTTGGTCCATTATTGTTATTGACCTGAAAGATTGGTTTTTTACCATCTCATTGGATCCTAAATATAAAGAAAAATTTGCATTTACTGTACCCTCAGTGAACCATGCAGAACCCACCAAACGATTCCAGTGGAAAGTTCTTCCCCAGGGAATGAAAAATTCCCCCACCATTTGTCAGTGGTTTGTTGCTCTGGCACTGTCTCCAATTTTTAAACTGTTATTGTTATCATTACATGGATGACATTTTGCTTGCAGCAACTGATAAGGACCAACTGAGTGAGCTTAAAAAAGAGACAAAGAAACAGCTATACACATTTGGCCTACAAATTGCTCCTGAAAAGATACAGCGAGAACACCCTTGGAAGTATCTTGGAATGCAAGTTACCCAGAACACTGTAGTTCCCCAACCAATACAATTGGCTGCTGAAATTAAGACTCTCACTGATGTACAGAAATTAGTGGGGTCCATAAATTGGATCAGACCTTATCTGGGATTAACGAACACTCAATTGGCACCTTTATTTGAGCTGCTCAGGCATTCCACTAATCCTCACAAACCTAGACATTTGACAAAAGCAGCAACTCAAGCTCTCCAGCAGGTAGAACAAGCACTACACTCTAAATTCATCTCTCGAATTGATCCTGGACAAGAAGTTCATCTTTTTGTTCTAATAGACCACCTTGTTCCTTTTGGAGTTTTAGTCCAGTGGTGTGATGAATGGCCTGATCCTTTACACATCTTGGAATGGCTATTTTTGCCCTATAAGTCTAGTAAGAATGCCCCTGAACTGTTTGAGCTGTTAACTGACATAGTCATCAAAACTAGAAAATGCTGTGTAGAGTATAAGGGCACGGAACCTGCTCATGTTGTTGTTCCGATACAATCCTATTATTTCAAATGGTGTATGGCAAACAAATATGAGCTTCAAGCTTCTTTTGCAGGCTTTAGCGGCCAAGTTTCTTATCATTTACCTTCCCATCCATTGTTCAAATTTTTTAGAGAAGTGCCAGTGGGCCGTAAATTACTAAGCAGTTCTGTACCCTTAGATGGACTTACTGTCTTTACTGATGGCTCTGGGAAAACAAGGAAAGCTGCAGTTGTGTGGCAATCCACAAATGGATGGCAACAGCAGATTACTTCTCAGGAGGGATCTCCTCAGGTTGTGGAACTTCAAGCGGTACACTTGGCTTTCCAATTGTTTCCTAACCAATCCTTGAATGTTTTTACTGATTCTACCTATGTAGCTAATTTGCTACAACAATTTGATCATACCGTGTTATATTCTCGATCTTTTACTTTAGTTTTTCAAGTTTTGCTGGAACTCTGGAGAACTCTTTTGCAAATAACTGTTCCTTACTTTATTTTGCATGTACGTAGTCATACCTCATTACCCGGATTTTTTACTGAAGGTAATGCTAGGGCGGACGCCCTAGTTTCTGCTGCTGCCTTGGGACCGGTTCCTAATACTCATCAACAAGCGGTGTTATCACATCAGTTTTTCCATCAAGGAGCAGAAGCACTCCGCCATCAGTTTGGACTGACCCATTCTGCAGCTCGCTCAATTGTTTCCTCTTGTACAGATTGTCACCATACTCATACTCCTGTGTATTTCGGAACTAACCCCCGAGGTCTTAAAGCCCTGCAAATTTGGCAAACCAATGTTACACATGTGGTTGAGTTTGGTAATTTGAAATATGTTCACATTTCAGTTGACATCTTTTCTCACATGGTTGTCGCTACTGCACATATCGGTGAGAAAAGTCGAGATGTTGTAAAACATTTCCAACGTGCCTTTGCTACATTTGGGGTGCTGAGCCAGGTAAAGACTGACAATGGCCTCTCTTATGTAAGCAAAGTGGTGTGCACCTTTTTCGTACTATGGGGTGTCACTCATGTAACAGGAATACCCCACTCCTCTACAGGGCAAGCTATTGTTGAATGCATGCATGGCACCCTGAAGCAGTTGCTTCAAAAACAAAAAGGGGGAATGCAGGGTCAACCCCCTCAGGCACGGTTAGACAAAGACATGTACGTGTTGAACTTTTTAACTTTCCCTGATTCCTCTTCTTCTTCACCTGCCTTTTTGCATTTCGCCTCTTTTTTCAGTGCAGTTGGTGACTGGCAAGGTCCCTGTGCAGATTCAGGATCTTGTTTCTGGTCAGTGGTCTGGTCCACATGAGTTAATAACGTGGGGAGGGGATATGCTTGTGTTTCTACAGATCGTGGCCCCCGATGGATTCCTGCACAGTGTGTACGTCCTGTCCTGGATGCTGTTAAATGTAACTGTGTGGGCTGTCCCTCAGTCAAAACAGAACGTGTGGGTGACGTTGGTGAACATGATGCACCAGGACACCCTCTGCCTTTCTGTGGCGAACCCTGAGAATCCTTTTTCTACCTGTTTGGTGGGACTTCCTTTAGATGCCTGGTCTTGCCCGACAGGCCCAGGACCCTGTAACAGTTCTGCACCAAAGAAAAACATTGACCACTGGGATAGAATCTATGCACACTTTACACAAGTTACACAAGAACCTCAAGAACTAGCATTGTTAGGATCAGTAGTGATGGATGCTTGCTTTATGTTTAATTATACTTATAATACAACTAGAAAAGGACAGAACGTTAATGCCACACTGCCTGTATATAGAAATGCCACTGCTTGGTGTAATTACACTTCTAGTTATATTTCATGATCTTTTAATGTGCCTGTCGCTTTACCTTCTGGGGTTTTTCTTATTTGTGGGGATAGAGCTTGGGGTGACCTTCCATCAAAACTTAATGGTGGACCATGTAGCTTGGGGAGGCTTACTCTGCTAACTCCTAATCTCACCATAATTTACAATAAAAGAAGAGAAAAACATAATATTCATCAATTTACCAACCAGTGTGATGACCGGGTGACCTATTGGGGACCTGGAGAAATTATTGCAGCATTGGCACCTGGTGTTGCTGCAGCGGCAGCTTTGAAAAAGTTGACAAATTTGGGATGTTGGCTGAGCAAGCAAACCAATGCTACTTCTATCGTTTTGAGTGGTTTATTAACCGACGTTGATAGTATTAGATATGCTACATTGCAGAACAGAGCTGCAAAAGACTTTTTATTGTTAGCACAAGGACACAGATGCCAAGATTTTGATGGAATGTGCTGTATGAATTTGTCCAACCATAGTGAGTCAATTCATGCTAGCATTCAAAAATTAAAAGCAGGTATCAAAAAATTAAAGGTTGATGATGGTTAGGACTGGCTACATAATTTGTTTACTAGGTGGGGACTATCAGGATGTTTTTTGTCTATTATCAAAACAGGGTTGCTTGTGTTGTATATTATTGTAGTTGTGCTACTAATGTTGCAATGTTTGGTGTTGTGTTTGCAAAGGACCCTGCAAAGGACGACCCAGGCAATTTTCCTAGCACAAATACAAAAAGGGGGAATTGTGAGGGTAGGCGGCGGGCCCGCCGTGCCCCTGTTGAAGAACATAGAGGAGGAGGATTTTGATTTAGACACTTTGAGGCCGTTCCCCTGAAGAAAAACAGGGGCCATGGAGGACTTGGGAAGGTGCCAGTACTGACCAGTAAAGAAAGAATGTAAAAAAGGAGTGAACAACCAATTGTATGTGAAAGGTAGTAAGAAATAGTTATAAATAAGAAGCAAGAAGCTAATAATGGAAAGGCATGCAAGGCATGCAAGGCTCTGTGCTCAGTGTGTGTGTGAGAGAGAACTTTTAAACTGTAAATAAAGCAATAAATGCTGGATTTCAGATCATCATTATAAAGGTGTCTAGTTTTTATTTCTTGGCTGTACTCTACAACGACAGTTAAGTGCTGGGTCCTGCACTTTGGCCACAACAACCCCATGCAGACCTACAGGCCAGGGATAGAGTGGTTGAAGAGCAGCCAGGCAGAAAGGGAACTGGGAGTTTGGGTTGACAGGAAGCTGAACATGAGCCAGCAGTGTGCACAGGTGGTCAAGAAAACCTGGCCTGTATCAGGAACAGTGTGGCAAGTTGGACAAGGGAAGTGATCCTTCCCCTGTACTCTTCATTGGTGAGGCCACACCTTGGGTACTGTGTCCAGTTCTGGGCCCCTCAGTTAAGGAAGGATGTCAAGGTGCTGGAGCAGGTCCAGAGAAGAGCAACAAGACTGGAGAGGGGACTTGAGCACAAGTCCTATGAGGAGAGGCTGAGGGAGCTGGAGTTGTTTAGCCTGGAGAAAGCTCAGGGGAGACCTCACATCATCACTCTCTACAACTACCTGAAAGGATGTTGTAGCCAGGTGGGCGTCGATCTCTTCTCCAATGTTGTAGTAGTCAGGACGGCTGAAAGAATAAATGCACAGCACAGTATGATGATGATCCGACAATCTGCTTTATTGCTCAGTTCAGTCTTACTTATACACACTCTGCGAATAGAACCTTATATACCTTTCTATTAATAACTCTCTATTTATGGTCTATAATTAAACCCTACGCCCAATTGGATATTCACACCTTATTTACATTCTTCTCTCACTGGTCAGTTTTGGCACCTTTTCAAACCTCTCACTGTTCCTGTGAATTCCTCAGGGAAACGGCTTCAAAGGGTCTAAGTCAAAATCCTCCACCTCTATATTCTTTACCAGGGGGTCTGCGGATGTGCCGCCTACCCCAACAATTCCTCCTTTTTGTATTTGTGCCACAAAAATTGCCTGTGCCATCCTCTGCAGAGCCCTTTGCAGAAGAGACACAAGACATGGCAACATAAGTAGCACAACTACAACAATAAACAACACAAACAAACCTGTTTTGACAAAAGACAAAAGCCATCCTGATAGTCCCCATCCACTAAAAAGATTATTTAGCCAGTCCCAACCATCATCAATCTGAAATTTTGATTCTTGCTTTTAATTTTGAAATACTAGCATGCATTAACCCACCACAATCAGATAAATTCATAGAACACATCCCCTAAAATCTTGACACCTATGTAAAGTAATTTTAAGTCCATACACATAGATGTCTACATAGTTTTTCTCACTCATACAGTTTTTTTCCAGTCACACAATAGGTGGCCATCTCAGTCATTCTTCACTCACACAGAGCTAGAATTTTCATACCTTTTCATTTTATTCACACATTTTAGATTTCAAGTAGTTATTGGCCAGAAGTTTCTCAGTCTGTCATTTCGGGTGGTCATGTTCAACAACCATACATACTTTGAAGAGGAATCAATACAAGCAATAGAATCATAGAATCATAGAATCATAGAATCATAGAATTAACTGGGTTGGAAAAGACCTCCGAGATCATCAAGTCCAACCCTTGAACCAAACCCACTCAGTGCCACATCCAGCCTCATCTTAAAAACCTCCAGGGACAGTGAAACCACCACCTCTCTGGGCAACCCATTCCAATGCCTGATCACTCTCTCTGTAAAGAACTTCTTTCTAATATCCAACTTAAATCTCCCCTGACAGAGCTTAAGTCCATGCCCTCTTGTCCTATTGCTGATTGCCTGGGAGAAGAGACTAACCCCCACCTGGCTACAACCTCCTCTCAGGTAGTTGAAGAGAGTGATGAGGTCACCCCTGAGCCTCCTCTTCTCCAGACTAAACAACCCTAGTTCCCTCATCCTCTCCTCATAGGACTTGTGCTCAAGTCCCTTCACCAGCCTCGTTGCTCTTCTCTGGACCTGCTCCAGCACCTCAATATCCTTCCTGAACTGAGGGGCCCAGAACTGGACACAGTACTCAAGGTGTGGCCTCACCAACGCAGAGTACAGGGGAAGGATCACTTCCCTGCTCCTGCTGGCCACACTGTTCTTGATGCATGCCAGGATGCCATTGGCCTTCTTGGTCACCTGGGAACACTGTTGGCTTATGTTCAGCTTCCTGACAATCAGCACTCCCAGATCCCTTTCTACCTGGTTGCTCTCCAGCCACTCTGTGCCCAGCCTGTAGCGCTGCAGGGGGTTGTTGCGGCCAAAGTGCAGGACCCGGCACTTGGTCTTGTTGAACCTCATCCTGTTGGAATTGTCCCAGCTCTCCAGCCTATCCAGGTCCTATTTTCCATAGTCTGCAAGCTCTCTTTTTATCCCTGATTTCCTTCAGAATCTCCCTGTTCAACCAAGGTGGTCGTCTACCTCGCCGGCTTGCCTTTTGTCACACTGGTACATCCTGTTCCTGCGCACTCAAGACTTCCTTCTTGAAGCACGTCCATCCCTCGTGTACCCCCTTGTTTTCAAGGGTTTTTTCCCAGGGTATGCTCTGGACCAGTCTTCTGAACAGGCCAAAATCTGCCCTCCGGAAGTCCAGTGTGGAGGTTTTATTGGTGGTCTTCCTTGTATCCCTGAGTATTGCAAACTCTATTATTTCATGGTCACTGTGCCCCAGGCGGCCTCCGACCACTACATCTCCCACTAGCCCCTCTCTGTAAACAGCAAGTCTAGTGGGGTCCCACCCCTGATAGGTTCATTTACCAGCTGGAGCAGGAAATTATCCTCTATATGCTCCGGGAATCTCTTAGACTGCCTCTTCTCTGCCATGTTGAGCTCCCAGCAGATATCTGGCAGGTTGAAGTCGCCCACAAGAACAAGGGCTGGTGATTTTGAGACATCTGCCAGCTGCTTGTAGAATAATTCATCCCTTTCATCATCCTGGTTGGGTGATCTATAACAGACTCCCATTAGGATGTCAGCCTTCCCCCTGATTCTGATTCACAGGCACTCGACCTTATCATTGGTGACCTCAAGTTCTACAGAGTCAAGGGACTCTCTAATATATAGAGTCACTCCTCCACCTCTCCTACCCTGCCTGTCCTTTCTGAAGAGCTTGTATCCATCCATGGTAGCACTCCAGTCATGTGAGTCATCCCACCACGTTTCTGTGATGGTAACTACGTCATAGCTTTCCTGCTGCACGATGGCTTCCAGCTCCTCCTGTTTTGTTGCCCATGCTGCATGCATTAGTGTACATGCACTTCAGCTGGGCTATCGATTTTACCCTTATCTCAGGCTTTTCATCCCTGGGTTTCTCTTTGGAGAGCCTGGATTCAACCCCTTCCCCCTTCAAACCTAGTTTAAAGCCCTCCTGATGAGCCCCACTAACTTATGGGCTACAGTCCTTTTGCCCTTCCTAGATACATAAAGCCCATCTGATTTAAGAAGACTGGGTACTGTGGAGTTTGCCCCATGGTCAAAAAACCCAAAATTTTGACGGTGGCACCAATCCTTTAGCCACCTATTGATAAGGTAGGTTTTCCTACACTTCTCGTTCATCTCCTCATTCATTCCAGCAAGTACAGGAACTGAGGCAAATACTACCTGTGCGCCTGTCCCATGAACTGATCTACCCAGTGCCTTGAAATCCTTTTTGATTGCCCTGGCACTTCTTCTATTAATATCCTCACTGCCAGCCCGGATTACCAACAATGGATAGTAATCTGAGGTTTCAATTAGCTCAGGAAGTCTCTTACCAATGTCCCTCACCCTGGCTCCAGGAAGGCAGTAAACCTCCTTGTGGGATGGGTCTGGTCGACAAATAGGGCCCTCAGTTCCCCTCAAAAGGAAGTCACCTACTACAACTACCTTTCTTTTTTTTCTTATAGCTGTAGTTGTAACCCATCTGGTAGACAGGGTGCAACCTGCAGACAGATCTTCCTCTTGCCTGACCTCTACTTGACTTTCCGAGTCTAGGGCCTCATATCTGTTGTTCAAGGGCACCTGGGGAGGTGATGGGGGTCAAGAGGGTGCTCTTTTACCTCTTCGAACAGGGACCTGTTTGCATTCCCCCCGTCCACTTGGTTTGCCTCCTGACGGCAGGAGGGGCAGGGCATCACTGTCTCCTGCTGGACTTCCTTGGGGGTTGAAAGGGTGTGACTCCACCAGTCTATTTCCCTTTCACTTTCCCTAATACTTCTCAGCCTCTCTACCTCTTCCTTGAGCTCTGCTACCATGCAGAGCAAATCATTGACCTGCTTGCATCGCAAACGGGCGCCTCTCACAATGTCCTCTGGCACTGCTGCCAGGGTCAAACAGTCTGCGCAGCCAGAGACCTGAATGGCTGCATCCTTCTTGGAGGGTTCTGTCTGTGTCAACACATTCCTAGTGTTAACAGTAGCGACGGTTTTCATTTTTTTAGAAACCGTTACTGGTTTAAGTTGAAATATAGAAAAAAAACCCAAACAAACAAACCAAACAAACAAACAAACAAAAAAAAACCCCACAAACAAATAAACTAGGAGTTGGCCCTGCCTATTTGCCCTGCCTGTGCAAACTGCCGTGCAAACTGCCGTGCAAACTGTCGTGCAAACTGTCGTGCTACGCCCTCACTGACGTGCCACGCCCCTGTTTGCCTGTTCCTGTTCCACTCGCTCCAGGAGATGTTTATATAGCCCTCTGGAGCACCAGTTAACGAGCCTGTCCCACCCCTCTCTCACCTGAGTGGTTCCCGAGAAGCAGTCAAGGCCAAGCAGGAATATAAGGCTTAACAGACCTAAATGAGATTCATTCTGATCCAGCACCTGTTTATGAGCATGCATATTCTCCTCTCCCCTTTTTTTTTGTTTCAAAAATATGTTTGGTGTGTAAAATGCTCTCTTGACAATAACTTGTTCTATGAGTGAGTTAGTTTTTTTAGAATACCAAAAGTTAATGAACTCAAGGATATAATACTGGTGAGTAACCTCTGCATTTCTGCACCTTGTATTAGAGTTTTCTATGCACTATAACAGAAATAATGTCATTTGAACTAAAAGAACACAATAAAACAATATCTGTATATTTTAAATACCCAACTGAAATGCACTTAATGTGTTTCATAGTTTAAGTTTCACTGTTATGACTATTATCTGCTATTGATGTTATTTTGTTTTGGGTGGCAAATTTTAGTCAAGTCAGAGTTAATAAGACAGTATTACATACAGATCACGGTTGATTCAGCTAAGCAAAAAAAAACCCTTATCATTTGGTTGAATTAACTTTTTCAATGGGTTCACTGCAGGGAGACACAAACATGATGCCAGGAAGGGGGAAAAGGAAAGAAGGAAGGTGTAATTTGCAATTAGAGGATCACAGTATCTAGGACCAGTATAAAATTAGCAGATCCTCTAATTTACTCTTCAATATTCTTCAGCAAGTTCCACTTCTCTGTCAACTGTGACAAATTCAGTGAACAACACTACCTAGCACGGATATGGAAATTCTCCTCACTCAAGCACAAATCTTTATTTTCTTTCTCTATGTTTCTCTTCTGTATTTTTGCTGTCAAGAGACTCTGATATGGTGACAAGTCAGTTCAAGGTGTCTCTGATGTCTGAGATGTAGTTAATTCCCAGCTTTTGTCCATCTGCCTCTTCTAGTTCTTTTTTACTTTTAATAAAAAGATTACAAATTGTTATTAATAGTTAAGTCAGTTTTAAGTGGCTATTGTGGCAGAAACAGATGAGAGAGTCAGGTAATTTTGCAGTTTTTCTTGAAGCTGAAGGCCTAGTGATGAGCCTTTGGTGAATGAGATATGTTGAAACGAGGCATTGTAGTAAATTATTCTACACAAGAATGTATCAAGTAATTTTTAAAAGATTTGTCTGCAAAATACAGAAGGCTTTTGGGAGGCATGACACCAGACAGCATCCGTCCACCACACCGGGAGTGGAGTGGGATCGCTTGGGCCGGGGGAGGGGGGAACAGTAGACCCAGCCTCAGCACCACATCCACTCTGCCCCGCTGTTCTGGCATGCTGCCCCGGTTGCTTTTGATCTTGTTTCCTGAAGCTGCCCACATCTCCAGTGGTTGTCCCTGGAAAGCAAACTTGGATCGACACTGCTCAATAAAACGCTTTTGCTTTGTGACATCGTGCACAAAACACATTGGCAGACTAGCCCGTGGCAGAGGGGGTTCTGTGGGGGACACCGCTTCCTAAAATGTCCAGTCTGCCCATAGCTAAAACATGTCCCTTTAACTCTCGCAGCAGCAGCAAAGGTCCTAGGGAGCTCCTGCATTTGAAAGTTACAGATTCTACTTTCACACATGCTCCAATTATATTCACTACGGTAGCACCTGCTGGGAGAGGCAACCAAATCCGTTTGCAGTCCTCATTAGCATCATCTTGGGCTGCCTGCAGAAGCAGGGCATCTCTCTTCACACTTGATAGCTATCACCACACTCTTACACAAACAAACATTTGAGTCTTTGTTATATGTTATGATTATGAAATGAGAAATTGGCACTCTTGTTTTTCACTCTTAGAGTAGCAATGTTTAACTGTGTTTCTTCGATCTTTGCATTACTGTTTTGATGAGATTATAACTTGTAAAGCAAACATATTTTTGCCTCTTGTTCAATTTAAAACATATAAGTTCTTCATAAACATTGTTAAAGTTTAAAGATAATATAAACACTTCTTTTGGGGCTATGTTGCGGGCAGGTTTCTGTGGGATTCTATAGAGTGAAGGATTGTCATAGTGACCATGTTTAAATCATCATTGTCTTGTTCAACTTCTCACTTTTGTAGCGGGTGGGGGGGATGCTCTCAGTTTCTGCCTCCCTGTGTTTTCTCACTAGCCATCCAGCTTGCCTTGCCTCCCTGCCTCGGCTTGTCTTCAGCACCCATTGCAGATGGCGAGGGCAGCCTCGGTCCTGATCTTGGCCGGTCCCAGCGTGCTTCGGCTCTGGTTTAGCTCCGCAGAGCCGCCCTGCACTGCCAGCACCAGTCCGTGTCGTGCAGTCGCTGTCGCTTCGCGCTGCCCCCCTGCGCTGTACCGCTGCAAGCCCTGTGCAGAGCCACCGTTTCTTCAAACATCACGCCACGAGTCGCCACCATCATACTTCATGCTACGCTATTATTCAAGTTCTGATCCCTCAATGAGGATCAAATCCAATCTGGCCCCTCGTTAGGTGCCTCGTTGGTCTACTGTTCTGATACCTCATGGTTTGTCACATTGGGGTCACCAGTTGTCGTAGTAGTCGAAATAATTAACCCTTACACACCAGGCTGTCTGCGGATCCGCTGCCTACCCCAACATCCAAGGCAATCAGCAGTAAGACAAGGGAGCATGGTCTTAAGCTCTGCCAGGGTAAGTTTAGGTTGGATATTAGGAAGAAATTGTTTACAGAGAGAGTAATCAGGCATTGGAATGGGCTGCCCAGGGAGGTGGTGGATTCTCCGTCCCTGGAGGTTTTTAATACGAGACCGGATATGGCATTTAATGCCATGGTCTAGTAGCCATAGCAGTGTTGGATCAAGGGTTGGACTTGATGGTCTCAGAGGTCTTTTCCAACCCAGTTGATTCTATGATTCTATGTATGGGTGCCTGTAACACGAACAAAAAAGCTGTATCACAGTAAAACTAGGAACAATCTAAACTAATAATTTAAACAATCAGAACATATCATGTTATCAGTTTGTCTCAAAGATTGCAGGCAAAATGCAAGTCAGGTCCTATGGGGCCATAAAACCAGTCCCTCATTTGTAGTGCTGCAGCCACCTTCTTACCCCACTTGCCTCCTAACACAGGACTCCTGTGAAGCTCAGCACTTCACACACCTCTAAATGACACTCAATGACAAAGCATTTTAGAGCCAAATTCAAAGTAGATAAATTTGATCTCCGTATCACATGAAATCCTGCGTGGATTTAACAAAATCAACCCAGGGAGGAATCTCTTTTACAAGCTGCAGCAATCAAAGAGGAGAAAGAGATATTCCAAACGATGCTCACAAAATGCTGCCAAACTGCTGGGGCAAAATATATAGAAATATGAACATTGCAAACTTCAAGACAATCAATGTAGTAAAAACAATATGAGCTTTCAATTCTCCTGTCATATCACCTCCTTATGGGACGCCTGCAAAAGGAGAAAACTCAGTCCCACTAAGACCTGTTAGAAAGAGGCAGCAATCTAACAATCAAATTAACAGTAAAAGAAGCCTAAAAGGCAACTGTCCTAGTTGGAGTAGCCAGGACCAGTTCATCACTGTGTGAATGTAACCCAAATTGTGTATTCTACATTGTCATTTCCCAGGAACTGTTACAATAGACAATCTGCAGCAGCTGCCCAAAGCATACCTGACCCCTCAGGCTATAAGTGTGGTGTTAAAAAGCCTGTGAGATAGTGAAACAGAGCAAGGTTTTAAAGGATTAACTAGGATAGAGTTGGTACCATGCTCTGAGAGATGCCCTGTTTATGTTGAGCTAAAACAGAGACGTCTTGTTCTGTTCTGCTCACTGTACTTAAAACAATCTAGCAGTCATAAATAAAGATAAGGTGGGCATCTGAAGGAGATAAGAAGGCCATGAGTCATGAGGTTTTGCAAACTCCAGAAACAGTTGTTGAACAAAGAAAGTTGAAAAGTTCAAGTGAGGAAGAGGAGCAGGAGACTCCCAGAGTGGGGTCGAAGGATGGAACGACCACCCAAAAACCTCCCCAAAAGACGATTCTAGAAGACTCCACCTCTAGCTCCTCCTAAACCCCACTTATTATGAATATGATTATTAGATGTCAAAATTGAATGAATATGTATGAAAAGATGTTGTAACCTCTCATGAAAACTGTATAAATTGCCTGACTTTTTCACTGAGAACTTCGGAGCTAGTTTGTCCAGTGCAAACCAGCTAGTTCCCCAACATTGCACGAAATAAATAGCTTTGCTGCTTAAAGACAAAATTCATCTCTGAGCAGTTATTCTGTGCTGTTTTGGCATCAATAGGAGGATGTTCCTGTCCTCACACCAATGACTCAGGTGTGATAACTCCCCCCTTCCCCCAGGGAGTCATTAGCACCTCCACACCCAGTCTGAGGGGTCATGTCTGCTAATGGGCCATCAAGGATTCCAAAAATAGCTCACGACTGACAGTCACCCATTGTGAAACTTCCTGCCCTGGGGGAGGTAATGGGCATTCCCACCTGAACCTGAGTGTATATAATCTCGGTGTCTTGGGACTTCTGGTACCACTCATTGGATCCAGAGGAGGACCAGAACCTTGACTGGACTGCGACCACAACTCTCAACTGGACTGCAACCACCACTCTCAACCGGACTGCAACCACCACTCTCGATCAGACTGTGACCATCACTCTCACCAACAGGTTTTCCTTTCCTTTTACTTTGGACTCAGGGGGACCATGTGGGGCTCAGCACGGGGGGGGGGCCAATGAACACCAACGTGCCCCAGGGTGCTGGGTTATACATCTGGGTTTTGTGGGTTAAAACCAATTGTTTGTCTGTATAATTGTATTTATTGTATTACTTTTATTAAATTGTAACTGACTTATAATCTCTTTTGAGATGGGTTCATGTCTCCTTCTGGTTTACCTTTAAACCAGCACAGCAAAAAAGGACCGAAGATAAAAAAAAAACAATAGTCATTGCACCACCTGGTGTTTTGACAGTATTATTCCAATTAGAGTCTGATCCTTGTGTATACACCACCTTTGGAGGTCACTAGCTGATCTAAAGCCATTCAATTCTGTTAGAGTGCCTTAGGAGGGCTGGTAGTTTTGTTTTACAGTAGTTCTTATCTGTGACAGAATCTTTTCCACAAATTGGTCTTTCTTGTTTACTTACTCCTGACCTGAGATCTGTTTCAGGAATTCGTGTTACAGTCCAAAACCTTTTGTCTTGGTGTATCAGATGATAAGGGCTCTTTTCTTGATTACCTCCCAGTTGTTAAGGCGCGTTCTGTTATTCCATTACTATTCTGTAGGAAGTTGTTTCCATCTGTATCACTCCCAGCCTGGGTTTTCCAGAGGCACCTCCTTCAAGTCTGTCTGCTGGAATAAGCCTTCTGCAAACAGTCATATTCTAATACATTGTTGGTTCATGTTGGGGACAAAAACCGTGGCCCCTTCTTTTGTTCAAGTGCTGTTTATACCATATGATGTATACATATACATACCCATGATTGATATACCAGTGGCTGCTATAGCCCCCTAAACTGAATCAGAGCACAGAGGGCAGTAATATTCACCACAGGCTGTAAGCCTGGAGCAAACCCAGAACATAGAGACCAACACAGATAGTCCTTTGCTTTGATTAGAAGATGGTAAGGCCTCCAATACAGCAAATAACAAGCCAACCTCGTTCACTACCCCCCCCCCCCCCCTTTTCACCTTAGCCAGTCCAGTGGGAGAGGGGAAGGGACACGGCAAGGACCGATGGGTCCCTTGGACAGTGCTGGTTGCCTGGCCTCCTTTACTCCCCCACAGTTCCCCACAGGGGCAGGGTGATGGTCAGTTCCCAGAGAGTTCCCCTTGGGAGTCCCCCTTCTCTTCCCATGCTTTTGGCATCCTATTGCCATGTCAACAAGCATGGCTAGCCAGAAGCCTAAGTATGCAGGGCAGTGCTACAAGCGGTAGGGCAGTCCAGACCCAGACCACCCCTCTTGCCATTTCCCTCTCCAAGACAGATCCCTAAATCTCAGTTCTAGAGGTTCTCCATTAACAAGGAACACTGAACCTTCCCAGGTTCATGGGCAGGACTCCAAGCTGAAGTCACACAGTGCCCTAGGCTTCCATGTTCCACTGGATGGACCTGGACAGTGGCTCCACCCACAGCAGCTCCAAGGGTGGGGAGCTAGACTCCCCATCGGGATGGGGGAACACATGAGCAGCACTATGGGCTCCAAAGCCGCCTATTGTTGCCCCCCCTACTGGGATGGAAATTACACCTGCAGCAGTTCCTGGCATAGTGAAAACAGTGGGTGTTGGGGGGGAAAAGGCTGGAAAGACTATGTTCCCTTTCAGAATATGGAAGTGGAGGACGCAGAAGCCCCAGGGGCGGGGTTGTCCCCACCTGTAACGATGAAGACCCCTTTTTGATCCCCAGCCCCTGTGGAGACAGCGGAGAGCGAAGCAAGGGCAGCGGCAGAGGGCCTGGGGGCTGTGAAGCTGCCTGCAGCCACCAAAGTAGTATCTGTTTTGCCGCTCACTGCAGCAGGAGCAGCGGTAGCAATGCCTTGTTCGGCAGCGGTCACTGTCTCTCCGCTCATGGCACCATTTGTAGCAACCGTGGCACTGTCCCTGCTCGCAGCAGGCATCTCTCCTGCAGCTGATGGGAATCGAGGGCGGGGGTGGTGATGCCGCTTGTGACCATGCCTGCTTGCAGTGCCAGCGGGAACCTCAGACACCAAACTGTTGTAGTAGTCAGGACAACCGAAAGAATAAATGCCAGGTGCAGTATGATGATGATCCAACAGTCTGCTTTATTGCTCAGTTCAGTCTTACTTATACACACTCTGCGAACAGTACCTTATATACTTTTCTATTAATAACTCTCTATCTATGGTCTATAATTAACCCCTACACACAATTGGATATTCACACCTTATTTACATTCTTCTCTCACTGGTCAATTTTGGCACCTTCTCAAACCTCCCACTGTTCCTGTGAATTCCTCAGGGAAACGGCTTCAAAGTGTCTAAGTCAAAATCCTCCACCTCTAAATCCTTCACCAGGGGGTCTGTGGACCTGCCACCTACCCCAACACTACACCACCCATGACAATTGCCGAAGGCATGGCGGTCGCAGTGCCATCCATGGGACCCGTGATCGTGCCTCCCATGGCAGCTGAAATGCCGGATTTGAACTTACAGCCTCAGGGTTACCAAGCAAACTCTCTGTACCACACACCACCAGTGACTTCACCAGGGGGTCTGCAGATCCACCGCCTACCCCAACAATTCCCCCTTTTTGTATTTGTGCCACAAAAATTGCCTGTGCCGTCTTCTGCAGAGCCCTTTGCAGGAGAGACACAAGTCATGGCAACATAAGTAGAACAACTACAACAAACAACACAAATAAATCTGTTTTGACAAGAGACAAAAGCCATCCTGATAATCCCCATCAACTAAACAGATTATTTAGTCAGTCCCAACCATCATCAATCTGAAATTTTGATTCTTGTTTTTAATTTTGGAATACTAGCATGTATCGACTCTCTATGATCAGACAAATTCATACAACACATCCCCTTAAAATCTTGACACCCATGTAAAGTATGTTTAAGTTCATACACATAGATGTCTACACAACTTTTCTCACTCATACAGCTTTTTTCCAGTCACACAATAGGTGGTAACCTCAGTCATCCTTCACTCAGGCATAGTTAAAATTTTTTTAATTTTTGCATTTTAATCACACATTTTAGATTTGAAGTAGTTATTGGCCATAAGTTTATCAGTCTGTCATTTCTGGTGGTCATGATCAACAACCATACCTGTTTTGAAGATGAATCAATACAAGGAATATAAGGCTTAACAGACCTAAATGAAATTCATTCTGATCCAGCACCTGTTTATGCACATGCATATTCTCCTCCCCCCTCTTTTGTTTTGAAAATATGTTTGGTGTGTTGTCATGGTTTAGCTGGTTCTTGGAAACCAGGCAGGAATTTTTTCCCTTCCCCCTGCCCACTGCGTGCAGAGCTATCAAGTGAGCACTTAAGAGATACAAAAGAACTGACCCGGCTGGTTAATTGCTGAGAACTTAGTCTCCTAGGAAATGGGGGAGATAAGGGGATGCACTTTAGTTTTTTCTCTCATCTCCTGGAAAATGGAGTGAGGAGTTTTTGGGCTGGCTGTGGCTGGAACACAGGTTGGAGTGAAAGCTGGTGGTTCCTGTGGCTCCCAACATGCTTACCAAGTGCAGATCCTGCTTGGATTTTTTTTTCATCAGAGAGGAGCTGGTTTTTTTCTGGAGGTTTCTTTTTTTTTTTTTTTTTCCCTTTCTCGTTCCAGTTTGTTTTTTTCCTGGCGGTGGTCCTTGTGCACATCAAGTGCACTGCATCTCCAGTGATCCAACAACGCCACCTGGTGACTGGCACAGTACATCACAAGCTCTGCATCTCCAGTGACCCAACGGCGCCACCTGTTGACTGAGGTTGGACTTGCAATAAAGGGCACAAACTGAACTGTTTACTTTTTTCCTTTGCTTGTTCATTGGCTTGTTTTGAAGGGGATTCTTTGTGGATATAGGAGCATTGTTTGGTTGTTTTACTGTTTTTTTCGTGTTTCTGCCAATACACAAATACCTTTAATAAAGGGTTGTTATTTTTCCTTTTTCATAATTTTTTTTCCTTCAATTGGAGCTTTGTAATTTTAGATTTATAATTGCTTAGAGAGACGAGTTTGGGTCTTTTCTCATAACTCATCCTCAGCAAAAGACCTGTGTCTCATTTAAACTGGGACATGTGTAAAATGCTCTCTTGACAATAACTTGTTCTATGAGTGAGTTAGTTTTAGAATACCAAAAGCTAAGGAACTCAAGGATATAACCAGACACAATCCGTCCACCATGCCGGGAGTGCGGGAGGGGAGGGGGGGACGGCAGTAGACCCAGTTCCGGCACCACATCTACTCTGCCCCGTCGTTCCAGCATGCTCCTTTGGTTGTTCTTGATCTTATTTCCCAAAGTTGATCACATCCCTAATGACTGTCCCTGGAAAGGAAACCTGGACCGACACTGCCCAGTAAAATGTTCTGCTTTATGACATCGTGCCCAAACTACATTGGCAGACGAGCTGGTGGCAGTAAAGTTGCTGTTGGGGGCACTGCTTCCTAAAATGTCCAGTCTGCCCACAGCTAAAACATGTCCCTTTAACTCTCGCAGCAGCAGCAAAGGTCCTAGGGAGCTCCTGCATTTGAAAGTTACAGATTCTACTTTCACACATGTTCCAATTATATTCACTACGGTAGCACCCGCTGGGAGAGGCAACCAAGTCCGTTTGCAGTCCTCATTAGCATCATCTTGGGCTGCCTGCAGAAGCAGGGCATCTCTCTTCACACTTGATAGCTATCACCACACTCTTACACAAACAAACATTTTTGTTATATGTTATGATTATGAAATGAGAAATTGGCACTCGTTTTTCACTCTTAGAGTAGCAATGTCTAACTGTGTTTCTTCGATCTTTGCATTACTGTTTTGATGAGATTATAACTTGTAAAGCAAACATATTTTTGCCTCTTGTTCAATTTAAAATTTAAAAATATATAAGTTCTTCATAAACATTGTAAAAGTTCAAAGATGATATAACCTATTCTTTTGGGGCTATGTTGCGGGATTCTATAGAGTGAAGGATTGTCATAGTGACCGTGTTTGAATTGGCTCCACAGAGCCGCCTTGAAGTGCTGGCGCCAGTCCTCATCGTGCAGTAGCTG